TTCACATCGACCAACTGCATATATCCAGATTCAATCAATAATAAATTTCACGTGAGTCCTGTACATAATATTGCGAATGCATTTATTATAGAGATTGTACTCATTTTTCACTTTTTCTTTTTTTCTTTTTCTTTTTTTGTTCGGAATCTCTAACCTTATATTTTTAACTGCTACATATACTACTAAAATATGGTACATTGACATGCCTTGTTACAACTTAATTCATACATGACTGGCAGGAAGCTATAACAAATTATAATCTACAAAGACTAAGATGGAGCATGAATGAAAATGCATGTCCCGATGTGTTTCTCGCTATAACTATTATTCATATGAATTAAGTAATTTACACATTAAAAGTATCACGCTATCTTCTTACCTTTTTTGTTTGGAAAAAAATTTGAGAATATTTTCTATTACATATTATCATTAATTAATAATATTTGAGTTTTATAAGAACAGATTGATCATGATCAGCTAATTAATTATAATTAGTATGTAAAGAACCACTTCGACCCAAAATCTTAAGGTGTTAGATGAGGGCATTTTTTATGGTTTATATTTTTTTCTAAACACTCTCTCACGTAAGAGTCATTTGGGCTTCAAGTGTGGATATTACACAGGTTCAATTTTTTTTGGTTTATCTTATACTTATTTAATTTCACAAGTGACGGCGGTCAAGATCGAACTCGTGACCTTGTGGTAGCGCTGATACCATGTAAATAATCACTTCAACTCAAAACTTTACGCTTTGTTTGGGAGTTGATTTTAGAAGGAGAAGGAAATGAAATGGAAGATTTTAGTAAGCCCTTCCTTTGTTTGTGAGTTTAAAAAAAGGAAGGGAAGAATTTGTGAATTTTTACTAAACCCTCCAAAACCCTCCTTCTTCTTAAAATTAAAGTTCCCCCAATTTGGAGGGTTTGAAGGAAAAAATATTAAAAATTACATATCTACCCTTAGCATTAAAATGTTAAAACTACATAATTGTTAATCATTTTTAAATGCGATATGAGAAAAGTTTCAAATACCGACAGAATTTATTGACGAAAAATATTTTGTCAAAAATAGTGATGAAATTTTTTATGAAAATCATATCTGGCAAAAAATTTGTGTCAAAACTAAAGACAAAATTAGAGACGGAACCAGATTTTGCCATAATCACTAGCATAAATTTTGTACGAAAAAAATTTAAGTCAAAATTATTGATAGAATCTAAATTTCGTCGAAACTTTTAACGAAAATATTTCCGTCCAAAATTTTGACGAAACACATTTTCATCGAAAAGTTTCAACATAAAACAATAACGTCAAATTTTTTTACGGAAAATATTTCCATCAAAATTTGTGACTAAAAATATTTTTGTAAAAAATTTTGATGGAAATTTTTTTTTTGTCAAAATTCTTTACATAATCTAAAATTTGCCAAAATATTTCAAAAAAAAACATATTCATCGAAATTTTTGACGAAAAATATTTCCATCAAAATTTTAAGCGAAACACATTTCTATCGAAAATTGTTGACGAAAAAAATTTTCATCAAAATTCTTCACAGAATTTAAATTTCGCCAAAAGTTTTCGACGAAAATATTTTCGTTAAACTTTTTGGCAAAAAAAAATTTCTGTCAAATTTTTTTACGAAACACATTTCCATAAAAAATTTTCGACGAAAAATATTTCCGTCAAGTTTTTTGATAAAAAACATTTCCATCAAAATTTACAACGGAACGCATTTCTGTCCAAAAATTTCGACAGAAAATATTTCTGTAAAATTTTTTGACGGAAAATATTTCGACAAAAAAATTATTCTATCAAAATTCTTTAAAGATTCTAAATTTCGTCGAAAATTTCGAATGAAACATTTCCCTCAAAATTTCTAACAAAACAATTTCTGTCGAAATTTTCGTCAGAACACATTTCCATCAAAATTTTCTACAGAAAATGTTCCGTCAAAATTTTTGACAGAATTATTTTTTTGTTTCAAACATTTGATGAAACTAAATTTCGTCAAAAATTTAAACAGAAAATTTATTTTTGTAAAAATTTTCATGGTTTGAAAAATTCCGTCGCTTTTCGACAAAAAAGTATTCTGACGAAAAAATAATTTTGTGACAAAATTTTTCTCGTTTGCAGCGTAGAAATTTCATAGAAAATATGATTTTTTTTGGTGTTGTGAAAAGTACATACATAGTTTTGTTAAAAATTTTAAATTTAATTTAAATTGTAAAATATAATAATTATATTAATTTTAAAAAAGTTTAAATTGGTAAAAATATCTCATTAACCCAAAATCTTTCTCCTTTACCATTTTTTTAACAACCAAACAAGGGAAGAGAATATCCTTCAATTTCCTTCCCTTTTCTCCCCCTTGGATTCTCTTTCTTCCCCTCCCCTCCAAACTCCGAAACAAAGCCTTAAGGTATTAGATGAGGGTCTTTTTAATTGGTTTATATTTTTAACTAAGATAGTATAGACCCGTTTCTTTTAATTGAGAATAGAATGCTTGGAACGGTAACACAAACGTGATTGCATTGAATCTTCAAATGTACATAATATGTGCCTGAATCAATATGACAGCAATTTGGGATAAGATTTTATTACATATTTCGTGAACTCATCAGCGAAAAAAATACATGAATTAAAGAATCTTTGTGAGGAAGAATAAAAAAAAATAGTTGTATGGGTGAGCAATAATGAAAAGGCAAGGTGAGTCATTTACAAAAAAGAATGTATGCTTAATATCTTTAAACATGGGATTAGGGATGAATATGATCGCCAGATGATGGTTTGGAAGGACCTCGTGGAAGGAACTGAAACAGAAGGCTATCAAATTCCCTCGACCATTGATCATCTTGTAAAGGCCTGCAGCTTGTTCCAAGTTGAGAAGAAGCGACCAGAATGGTGAAGATGATTACTAGAATTGTGAAAAGGATCCTCTTGTAAGCCATGCCTAATAACTCTCTGTATTGTAATTATATGAAATAAAAATGTACCTCTAAACCTTTGATATATATGCTTTTGCCTCTTGCGAGCTTTCGGACGAGTTTTTTTTTTTTTTCGTTAGAAGTGATATTTGAGATGGGGATATATGGTTGTGGAACACACATATATATACATATATTAACGGAGCCTTTGGTGGTATTACTCGTTTAGCTTGACTGAGTAATATGCATGGTTTGAACTTGAAGGTTGAAAATTGAACGAATCAAAATTCAAATACAGCACCTTGGTCACCAAACATGAAAACGAGTTCTGTTAGATAAGTCAACTCCTAAATCGTAAATACCGTTATTTTTATGTCGAAATTATATTATAATTTATACATTAGTCGTTTCACCAACACGCACATATAGAGTTTTCACTTTTCAACAAAGACCAAGCCGTAGTAAAGGAAGTGCAAATAAAAATACAACTAATTAAGGGAAAAACTTTTTTCTTTTTATATGAAATAACTTGGTGTCATTTTAGATAAAATAGAGGAGAGAGCATAAAAAAATTACCAATTATACACCAAAACGATTTCGTTTTATTTAAAATGACATCACGTTATATTCTTTAAAAGGATAAATATTTTTACCACACAACTAAATATTATTTATAGGAAAAAATATCTGTCTTTTTAATTAAAGAATATAACTTTGTGTTATTTTAGATGAAACGACGTCGTTTTGACGTACAATTAGTAATTTTTTATATTCTCTCTCTTCTCCATAAAATTAGGAAGAGAGAGAAAGTGAAGAACAGAGAATATAAAAAATCACTAAGTATGCGTCAAAATGACGTCGCTTCACCTAAAACGACATAAAGTAATATCTTTTAAAAGAATAAAATATTTGTTCTAATGTAAAAATTAATTTTAAAGGACATAATTTTGTGTCATTTTAGATAAAACAACGTAGTTTTAGTGCATAATTGATTTTTTTTTCATTCTCTCTCCTCCACTTCCTCTTTCTTTTTCTTTTTTGATAACATCCACTTTCTCTTTCTTACTAATTTTATGAAGGAGAAAGAATATAAAAAATTATCAAAAATACACAAAAGTTATATTGTTTCATTTAAAATAGGGCCAAGATATTTTTATACTGGTGTAAGAGTTAGAAGTCTTACACTTAATCTTGACCATTGATCCACTTGTATCAAATGGTTCACGTTACTCAAAAATTGAATCCTTTAGATATAAATAGATCAACGGACAAGATTGAGAATGTAATTTACAGTACTGGTGTATCCTGACCCTTTAAAATATCACAAAATTATTGATTTAAATTTACAAACTTTTTCCTGACAATAAAATCTTTTTCTTCCGTTTAATAAGTAACTCAACCAGACGTACTTTTCGAAAGCATCAAAATCAAAAAGTGAAATAATTTTAAATGTGTAAGCTGAAGTCAAAAAGTCAGTCGTTATCATGATGGTCGATCTTGTTAATCCACTGATATTGAATCACACATAAATAACAACTTCTTGTTGCATGCCAACGTACGACATACAAGAATAACATCTGGTTTTTTACGCAAATCACTTACAATTAAATTATCTAATTATGTTGCAATTTCTGAGTTGCTTTATTCTAACAGGTTTGTACTATTGATATTATTTAACAGTCATACATAGCATCTTATAACTAATTCCTCCTCTATGTTTGCACAGTGGCCTCATATATGATTTTGAGAAATTAACTTAAGGATCGATCAAGTTACATTATATACTATCGATATTACATAGTATAATTCAGAAATTAACTATGTATTACGAACAGTATATAGTTTTTTGATCTATTCAGAAATCATGTATTATCCGTAATACATAGTTAATTTCTAAAACATACTATGTACTACCTGTAGTATATGTGTAACTTGACCAATCCTTAAGTCAGGTCACATCACTACAAGAAAAGCGGGATCCGGTGGCGGTTTCTCTCGGGCGGTTCAGTATAATTGACTCTGAACACAAAGCTCAACTTGTATCTCATTTAATTTAGTTTCGTAGAGCTTCCAGATTTTATTCCTCTTTATTTTTCCTTTACCTTCCCAAGTTTTCTTTCTTAATTTCTCATTTCCATGCACGATAACACAGCACACACACTTCAGTCTATAACACACAGAATTAGATAAAGCCTCTCTCTCTCTCTCTCTCTCTCTCTCTCTCTCTTTCATTCTTTTGCATGCGCTAGAGTTTTCTTCAATTGTAGCTCTATTTCTCAACATCAATACGAAACCTTCCACGGTTCTTCATGAAGGTAGCACTATTTTCAATGACTGCGATTTCCTTGATTCTTTTTTTTTTTTTTTTTTTGTAATAAATTTCCTTGATTCTTTGCATGTTTAGTTCATTGAATCCTGTGTTAGTAGTATCGAATTATTATTGTATTATTAGTAGTAGTTCATTGAAAAAATATCTTATTTTTTCAGGCTTTCTCATTTTCAACATCCCGAACGGTTTGATTGATATATTTGATGTTGCAGATTCTGTGTATGTAGCTTGAACATTACATGTTTGATGGAATGTCAATGTCAATGTCAATTCTTATGAATTGCTGATTGGGTTTTGAGTGTGTGTGATGGTCAATTTCATGCTCTCACTAGTTTTATTAGTCGCCAATGGCCATGTCCTATGAGCCTAAATATAGAACTAGGAAATGATAGTTGGAAAATTAGTTGCATGTGTCTCTCTAATAGATTATGCTTATGACACCTCCGTCACAGTTCAGAAACTTGAACTTCCCACACTGGCAATCACTGGTTGGAGGATAGCTGGATTTCTGGTAATTCGTTAAAAACACCAACTACTTTATCAGGTTGGAGGTTGTAAAAATGGTATTATTAAACAAGATTACACATATTTTTTGGCAGATGGGCATGCTAGAAAATCGCTGAGTTGGACCCATCGCATAGGAGCTGCAATTGAAGTAGCAAAGGGAATTCAATTTTTTCATACAACGATTGTCCCTGTTGTATATTCCAATGATCTTAAGATAAAAGATGTTTTGTTGGATCAGAATCTTGTTGCAAAAATCAGCAGTTATAACCTGACGTTGTTATCTAACATGGGAAAGTTACAAAGAAAATAATTGTGAACTTTTTTAATGAGGAAAAAAATCATAAGTTTGCTTTTTTGTATTTTCCTTCAAAACAAGTCTTGAGTTGGTACTGATCACCTTGGCTTATCCTTGCAGGTTCGGCATGGTTGTTCTTCCAATGGATTCAAAAATTCTAGCATTAATATAAGATGTGTGATAGAACAATCATAAAACCTGTATCGGTTACTTGCAGACTCAGATGTCATGGCCTCACATAAGGTACATAGTTTTTTTCTTTTCTCTTTTGACTTTTAGTTCTGGTTTGATATAATTGATACATCTATGAAATCCATTTAAAGTGTAGTTTCACTGTGTATGAAGTATGTGCACAACATGATTCTAAATTTTTTTATAGAATGATTAAAGTTTTATTTGATAACTCATCTGAAAGTTCATGCAAAGAAGGCCATTTTGTTTTAGGAGAATGGTAAGAGTTTGAGAGGATAATAGCAATTGGAGTGAGAATTTGGGAATGAAAGGGAGAGAGTTCGGATTGTGAATGTAAGAGGGGAGTAGGATGGACTCGGCTGTGTTGAGGAGTATTTATAGGAAGGGAAGTGGGGATTGGGTGGACTAGATAACACAACGTGGCATAATTCTATGGTTTTATAATACTTGGCAGGAAAAACAGAGAGCCAAGATACGGGAAATATTGACAAATGTGTGAAAGAAAAGTTGGTGGACTTCTGTGATGTGCTCAACATACAAAAGTTAAGATTGGTATGAAGAAGGTGAGTATTGACCTAATATTTGTTCTTTCTGGTATGGTATCATAGGCTTTGTCTTTTCAAAAAAAAATTATTAATAAGACATTATTTCAAGAGGAACTGTTTACAAAGTTGATGGAATTTTTGGAGTCCCCACATGCTACGACTGATGTTTTGCTTGCCGATAAGGAAAAGTTTTTTTTTCCCTCTTTCTTTTCTAATTTTGTTTTTGTAAAAGGATAAGGATCAAGTGTCTTTTTTTTAAAATTGTGACATAAATTTAATCCACACTATTACCTCTCATAGATAGTACAAGTATTCATGTTATTTTTGAAATAGTTTTGTACACCAATCAAATATCTTAACAAGTTATAGACTTTCCAAACATAAGAGAAATTCAACCATGATATAAGACTCATTTTTTTTCTTCCAATTTTTATCATATTTAACTTGTGAGCTCAGTATGCCAATTATAATTCAACAGTTGAATCAATCAAAATTCAAAAGTACTCGCTTTAAGCTAGTTGACCATGTGTTCCCTGCCTTGTATTAGTAGTATCATTGAATCCTGACCCTTGGTATAAATATACTGTTTTAATTTGTTTTATAATTTTATTTTGTTGGAGTTAGTTTTCTGAAGCTTGTTTCTATTCTACAGAAAGGTAAAAAGCATGCCACAAAGGCAACCCCAAGCAAATCTTCTGGGGAAGCTTCTGAAAAACCTGCTAAGGGGTATTGTTAAATTATCCTTGACATTCATTATGGCTTGATGCATATTTGATATGCTCTAGCCTTTTTTGGGCACACTCTTGCATTAAAACCTGGTGGTTAATGCTTGATTCTTCATGCAGCATGTGGTGATCTAATTTATCGTGATGATTCAATATCTTCATGTTGCTTAGTAAGTCTTGTTTTGATAATTGGAACAATCTGAAAGTCTTAATAATTCTTGTTTAAATATAATAATTGAACCCCTTAGCTCTAATATACCATTGGTACTCATAGCAAAAGAAAAAAAAAAGTTCCTTTTGGTCCGTAATGCAATTGTAAGTTTACATCGTGAATCTTATGCTTGTGGTCTAGTGACCTTAAGTTTTGTTTTTTAAGGAGGTAAAAAAATTTACTAGTTAAGAACTAAAAGCTGAGCCTTTGATAATAGTTGATTTTGTTGGTTAATGTTACATTTTATAGTAGATTTTCTTCAGTTCCATTTGCTGGAATTGTGCATGTTCTTATAGTGTCTCGAGGAAGTTTCTTTTTTGATTATTTGCAATTGCTTTTGAAATGTTCTTATAATGTTCATGCCTCTTTGGCATTTAGATGAACAAAGCATGATAAGTTGTTTTCATCTGGATATGAATATTCTATTGCTGATGCGACTTCAATTAGTACCATGTCTACTCTGGTGGATTATTAGTTATAGTTTTTTGTTGCTTCAAAAAATTCATGGCTCAGATTTCTCTATCCTTTTGTTTCCATGGAAAATCTGGGATGTAATTTATCTCATTCTGAACTTTCAGATGCAAAAGTTGATTCTCAGGAAGATGAAGATATTTCAGTGCCAAAAGGTGAAGATAATAATGAGGAAAGTAAATCAGAGGAAGAGGAAGATAAAAGGAAAACTAACAAATCTACTTCAAAATAGAATGTGATGGAGATTCAAACAGCACCTGTGAAGAAGACCACTGGTGTACAAGTCATCAGACATAGTAGATATTTAGGTTTAAATATTCGTAATTTTATTGATACTCTGATTTTATTTATGTTTAATTTGTAAAAAACATATTTAATTTTTTTTAATCATATATTGGATTCTATGAATTTTTAATGAAAGACATTTTGAATTTATTATTATTATTTTGTGTGTTTATTTTAGGATCATATTTAATTTAATATAAATTTGATGATATTATATTGACAGACTTGAATACTATAAATTAATAATGTGTTTCAAATAATAATAATACTGAATATAATATAAAACAGAGGCTGCTGAATCTTCAACTTTCACGAGGTTTAAAACAGCTGCTTTAGCATACCAAAAAAAAAAAAAAAAAACAGCCGCTTTAAATTTATCTAGTCACTTTACTGCACGACGGTTTAACATAATACAACGATCGTTTGTTAATCAATGGCGGTTATTCTGGAGGTTATTTAAAACCGATGCGGAAATATTTGCCGACCCCAAATTTAGACTCGGTTTCGAAAAGGCCAGAGAAATTTTCTCCGGCGATTTAAATGGCCGCTAAGCACAAATATCACCGACGCTGAATGCCGTATTTGCTGTAGTGCATGATATCTGCTTAACCCTTTATATATATAAGTCAAGTCACATCACATCCGCTTAACCCTATATATATATATATATATTATATATTTATATATATATATATATATATATATAATTCTATTTCGAATATTATGTGAATGAATTATAAATTTAATTAATTGAAATAATCAAATTATAATTCAAAAGTATTATTGGTTTAATTTTCATAAATTTTAAAACATTAGTTAATATTAACTTCAATTCACTAAACTTTAAAAATCACAATGATCGTTCGTGAACCTGTTGGGTGGTGTTCCTCTATTAGTGCTGACATGTATTCTCATTTATTGGAACCAAGGCTCAAGACAGTCCAATCACCTCAACTATCTCATCATTAAGGAAGATTCTGAAAGGAAGGTGGACGGTTCTTCCATCTTTTATATATACACTTGAAGACCTTTGTAATATGTTAGATATTTTGAATAAAGATTTGAAGCTTAGGTTTTTGAGATTATCTCTAGAAAGAAGTTTGAGTGAACCATCATTTGTTGGTGAAGTTTGATTTCTTATAACTTATTATTCTCATAGTGGAAGTTTGAATATGGACTATAGTGTCCCATGGTTTTTACTTATTCTCGTTAAAGAGGGTTTTTCACACTAAAATTCAATTATGTTTCTCTATATTTCTTCTTATGCAATTTCTTCATTTCTGCTGCGCTAGTGACTCCAGGCCGACTTCTTATTTTCGTGCTCTCAACTCGAAGTACCGACTTATGAACGTTTCTGCGCCAATCTTGAGGGATCCGAGTTTCCAATAGTGATATCAGAGCCAGAGTTCAAAGGATTCTCAGGAGATGAGATGGAGACTAGTGATGTTACTCACTATGGAGATATGTTCAAACTGATAGCTGACAACTTCACTTACTAGAGACTTATGATGGAAGACCATTTGTACTGCAAAAACATGTATGAGCCCATATGTAACACCCTGTGTATACCCGATAATGTTATCATACTATCGTATTAAGCTGCGCTTAATTAAAAATGCGGAATATCTTTTTATTTTCAATTATGACGTCATTATACTTAGCCAAGTTGATTACTTAATCAATTTCATAAAATACCGCCTGTATGTAAATTGCAATAAACATCTAACTGAAATACCTCCATATATAGATATAAATGTGAGTATCTAAGTCACGGATCTACTACCCGTAGTCCGAACAATAATCCTGATACATTATTACAACTCCAACTAAAACAAAACATAAACAAGTCTATGTGGCATGGACAATCCTCATGCTCACCAAATCAACGACATAATCAACCAAGTCTAAACATAATAATCCATAACTGAAGCTAAAAGCATAAGACAGTAAACAGGATCTCGCATCACACATAGCAGCATAAACATGCAACATCTATCAGCTAAGCTCTGACCTCCTGCCACTAGAGGTCTCAACCCCTGCATTACCCAAACCTGAAATAAGCATTCTCCAAACGTGGGGTGAGATCTCTAAACCAGAAATCTCAGTAAGACAAGGGGTCCTCAAGGATCTTCCACCCTAAGCTCACTTACATGTGCAATATAAGTTCTAAAAGCAGTAATATCAATATCAGTTCCAAAACTATGCAGTGCAACAAATATTCATGCCATGTGTGTTTATCACTATTCTACTGGCCGGAGAAATGCAGGAATACGTCTATTATCCACACGTAGTACAAGGAACACCGCTTGCACCTCACCCACAGCCTCACCATCTTGTATGTACCACATACTCAGGCTTACTGTATAGGTGGAACACCACATGCATATCATAAAGGCACTAGCATATAACAGCTCAATAGCATTTCCAAAACATCAAAAGCATGTAGCACAACATGCATATAACCATACCCCCATGGGACATGGTGGAACCACAACATGGCTAAACCGAGGACACGAAAGCTTACCTTGCAAGCTCACTATCCAGTGCCAAGAGTCCACACAACTCAAGTCCAACACACAGCAGATCACAATCTGATTAGGACCAGCAAGCATATCAACATTCATAGCTCATAAGCATAAACATAAAGACTACGTTTTCCTTTTACGTTTTACGTCTTAAGGCTTCCCACAAAGCCATAAGCCCTTAATCACTTGAGTCTGACTTAGTTCAATTAAAACAGAAGTTCAACTTCATCACTCTAGGGTCCACAAACCCCCAATAGCCTACTGTATGAACAATGCAGCTACTGTTCTTCGAAATCCCAGAATATCTGGATATTCCTCCGGGACATATCCGGATATGCAATATCCGGATATCTCTCTGGCAATATCCGGATATCAATATCAGGATATCCAGATCCCCATATCCAGATATCAATATCCGGATATCGATATCCGGATATCCATATCCGGATATCGATATCCGGATATTTCTCGGGCAAATATCCGGATATTTCGCGACAGAATGCAGTTTCTGCATTTCGCGAAGATATCCTCCAAAGGTCCAACTTTTACCAATTAAATTAAATGTGTTCAAGACTCCATTTTTAGGTCTAAACAGGTTCATACACATGTTAGTTACTTGTTTAACCCATTTACATGCAAAGACACCACCTTTAAGCCATAAAAACTCATGATCAAGATAAGGTAACTCACCCCAAAGCTTAAAACAGAGGAAAGAGTGCTCTTGGAGCTCACCAAAGGGTCCTCACAATTCCGACTTCAAGGAAATACGAAAATGGCAACACGAGCTATGCCCTTTCTTCACAAAGAAGGCTTATTGAAGCCTCTCAAGCCAAGAACAAGATGACCCTCACCCAAAACTCTCAAACTCAACACTAGAACCCCACACATAGCAACTAAACATATCAGAATGCAACACCCCACTCACTCACAAGCCAACCACCCAAAGTATACAAGGCTAGAGGTGGATAATCTCACATAAAAGAGGTGTCTTGAAGGGTTTAAGTGAAGAAAAACTAACAAGACAGAGAAGAAAATAGAGGAGCACCAGCTGCTGACCAGCTGCTGACCAGCCTCCACGTAGAGGACCAAAGGAATTAACCTAGGTCTTTGTGCCACTCTCTATTTATAGCCACTTAAAGGTTAATCACACAGTATTATCGTTAATTGCTACGCTTAATATTTTAATCCCAAACTCAGGATTCTTAACCTACTAAATTTTACAAGAATTTTCATATTTTTATTATATTTTTCGGAGCACCTTTCCTAAAGCGCTTTTCATAGCCAGTACCAGTTTCTGGCACCAGTTCTCACTATTTTAACTTGAAACTCGTTTTAAAAGTCCTACATATTATTCTAGTAATTATCATGCATTTATAATAATTTTCCGGGATACTTTTTCGGTACTCATTTATACCGACTAGCAGAACCGGTATCTGCACTTTTCTTCCGAAAAGCGACTTTCAGCATTCTTAAACACTTACTATAATTAATAAATCCTCTTAATAATTATTAGGGTCAATTATAGAATTATTTCCTAATTTTCACATTTAATTAATTAATTTCCTTAATTAACGGTGCGGGTTCTTACACCATAGTTCACGAAGAGATGCCTGAGGATAAAACCGAGAAAGAGTGGGAAATCGTGTAAGGCCATGGCCGTGATCAGAAAATATATTGACAAAAGTCTCTTTAATCACATGTCCGAATCCACGAGTGATGGATGAAGATAGAGCCCATTAGAAGAAGACTCCCAAGAACAAAGCACACCTGGTTCGCCAACTTGTAAAGCTCGAATACAAAACGACAAGAGTATGATTGAGCACCTCAACACCCATAAAGGTATTGTGAATCAGCTTTTCAAAGCCGAGATAAAGGTCGATGACAAGATGTAGGCTCTGTTGTTGTTGAGCTCACTGCTAGAAAGCTGGGACACTCTTCTAGTTACTTTAAGTAACTTGGCTCATGGAGAAAAACTAACAATGAACTCTGTGACTGACAACTTCTTGAATAACGAAACCAGGAGAAGAGAATGAGGTGTAACCATCACGTCTGAGGCAAATATTTTTGAGAATAGAGGAAGGTTCGACACCCGGGGTTGAAGCAAGAGTCGGGGTCATGACAAACGTAATAAGTCTAGAGGCCGATCTAAGCCAAAATATGAATTGAAATGCTTCTGTTGTGGGAAGTCTGGCCATAAGAATCCCGACTGTAGGACTTTGCAAAAAGACGAGATGAACATCACTATAAAGCCGAATCAGATTGTTCGGAAGAAGAAAGAAGACAAGAGCACCACTGCGATGGTTGCCAATGTGATACCGAGATCTTCCTCCTTGGTGAGGATAATTTTTTGAAAGTAGCATATGATGATTGCACTTGGATTGTTGACTCTAGTGCCTTCTTCCATGTTACTCCACACAAGGATTTTTTCTCTTCTTATAGAAGTGGTGATTTCAGAGTCGTGAATATCGAAAATCAGGTGACGAGTAAAATTATTGGAGTCGATGATGTAGCCCTGACCATACA